TGCCTGCCTCTCTGCCTACTTGTGATCTCTGTTTGTCAAATAAATAAATAAATAAATAAATAAATCTTTAAAGGTAGCCTCAAGAGTATGAATTAGTGGTTTCCCAAATACTGGGTGAAGTTCCAAAGGTTCCAAAAGATAGAACATTTAGAACTAAGAAAGAATTAGGCAGATTAAAAATACATAGGAATACTTGGGTACTTAACAGGTGACAATCACAAAAATTTGCATGTCAAAGGGAAAATAAGGTGAATGTCACCACAAATGTGATGTCAGAAGCCAAACATAACCTTCCTGGGATAGGTGCTCAGTAGTATGACAGATAAAAACCAGGGAATTGTCTCTCTGTTATAGGCAATGCAGGGTTATGGCCATTACACAATAGCCAAAATTATAGAAAACGAACACAAATTACGGCAAAAAGTATTATTTTGTTTAGAAAGAAAGAACTCTGTTATATTTAAGAGCTATAACAGTCTTTTGAGAAAATTTGTTTATTCCCTTCTCTGGGATCTCTAAAAATGAATCCTAGAATCCCTTCCAGCTCTGTAATGCCATGATTTAATCGTTGGTTCTAAGTAAACAAAGGAATGCTAATTCAGTGCAGGACACTGTCACCAGAAAATAATATGTTTAATTGCTAGTTTATGAATGTGACCAATGAATGTCTCCACTACTTATTAACTGAGCCACCCTAAGCAAGTTACCCTCACCTCTCTCAATCTATTTATCTGTCAGATGCCTTTTTCAGAGGTCTAACCTAATGACAGAGTGGAATAATGCTTGGGAGCTGTTCAGCACAGTGCCTCGCCCCCAGCAAGCACTCTTAAAAGATGGAAGCTCTCATTTACTGAGGAGTAAACGAATATTAAATTAAAATGAGCCTTTAGAACAATGCCTGACCCAGAGTAAGCACTCGATTTTAATAAAAGTTAAGAATTACAAATGAAGACAAACCATAAGTGACTCTTAATCTCACAAAACAAACTGAGGGTTGCTGGAGGGAGGGGTGTTGGGAAAGGGGGGTGGAGTTATGGACATTGGGGAGGGTATGTGCTATGGTGAGTTCTGTGAAGTGTGTAAACCTGGCGATTCATAGACCTGTACCCCTGGGGATAAAAATATATTATATGTTTATAAAAAATAAAAAATATATATATATTTTTTAAAAGAATTGCAAATGAAATTTGACAGTAATGCAGTTTCTTTACCTTCATACAGGGGGTATCATAGTATCTTGGGAAAAAATTCACCACTAACTATGCATCTTTGGGCAAGTCACTGAAACCTCTGCGTTTCTGTTTCTTTTCTGCAAAATGGGTGTAAAGTGGATTAGATGACGACTCACATGTTTTCCAATTTGGTTCTAGAAGGAGGTTCTAGACAATACCGGAGCTTAGTATACACAATAAGTGTATAATATACACTCTGTAAAACTCCATTTGTGAGCTAAGAAATAACTAGTGACCAACAGTACAATTAAAAACTTAAAATTGGTATAATATATGGTATAAAGTACCATAGACATAAAAGTCTTTTCATTATTTAAGAGCTGATTAAATAATGAACAATTGCTAGATACAGAATCAAGCACAAACATGGATATTTGAATTTGAATTGAATTGAAATTTGAATTTCAATGTTCATATAATTGCCTTTAAAGTTAAACCAAGAAATTATTTTGAGCCTCTCAATCTGTAAAAATCACGTAGTGAGTTTAAATAATCCCATATTCCAAATGTGAGGACTCCAAACTAATGTTGCTTTACTGTAACCGAGGAGTCAGCAAACATTTCCTGCAAAGGACCAGACAGTAAATACATTTTAGGCTCACTCAACCCTGCCCTTACAAGTACAAGAATAGCCCATGTGTAAATGAATGGTTGTGACTACATTCCAATAAATCGGTAATTGTGGACACTGACATTTGAATTTCGTACTGGTTTTTTTGTTTTGTTTTGTTTTTTTGACAGAGATCACAAGTAGGCAGAGAGGCAGGCGGCAGGGGGCCGGGGGCGGGGGGGGGGGAGCAGGCTCCCTGCTGAGCAGAGAGCCTGATGTGGGGCTAGATCCCAGGACCCTGAGATCATGACCTGAGCCAAAGGCAGAGGCTTTAACCCACTGAGCCACCCAGCGCACCCCTACTGTTTTTAAGTGTCATGAATTTTTTTTCTTTTTTTCAACCATTTAAAAAACGTTAACACCATTCTTAGCTTGTGGGCTATACAAAAACGGGGAGTAAAGGATTTAGCCGATGGGCCCAAGTTTGCCATCCCCTGCTGTAATTACATACTTTGGGAAAGAATGTGATAATATAGGAAATCCAGAATTAGCAGAATACCCCTTTGGGATTTGCACTGGTTGGTTGATCGGTGTTTGTTTTGTTGTACTGTTTTCATCCACTATTTTCCTAAGGGTTTTCACCACAAACCAGGGACCTCTCAGTCCTAGGGCAAGGGCATGCACTGGGTTTAAGCATAAGTAAGGCTAGCCTGACACCTTGAGGTCGCTCTGCAAGTGGCAGGTGCCCCCCTGGAAATTGACTAGCAAGGAGCATCTCCTGGGAAACATGAATCCAGGAGGGGGCAGCCTTGCAGACTCCACTCAGCAGTGAGCCAGCTAGCAGCTGTTGTTATTGTGGAAACGGGGCAGGATAAAGTCCTCAGATCACTGTCTGACTTCTCTCTCCAAAGGGCTGTGTTTAGGGGCATTTCATACTATTGAAAAAATAAATAACTTCCAGAGCCTTCCCAACTGAGACCAGAGGGCTCCAAGGACATGCAAGACTTTCCCTGGTCTGGATAAGTCCCCGCCTGCAGTTATTAATACATTCTGTAGGAGAGAACGGGGTATGGAACACAACAGCCCCATCCCTCTCCTTTCAGATGCTTACAAAGGAAAAAGAAGGGAAATGTGTAGGGCATAACTGCTACTGAAAATCAGGAGTTTTCCTCTGGGAGATGGTGATAAGGGGCTTTAAGAAGCAAAGGCCAATGACGGAAAAGTTACAATAGGCTTGAAGTAAATAGGATTGATCATTGCCTGTCTGGGTCAGACTCTCCCAGGACTATCATGCCGTTGTGCTGGGATGCAGTGTTTTGCTCATTTTTGGAAAAGGATTGTAGGTGCAATTCTTTCCATATCCCTCTCTGTCGAAGTGTTTCCCCGAAACATCCAAGACTCAAGTTATTCTTGTCTTGTAAATTGTCCGGGAAAAACAATCCTACAGCTGCTAGTTCATCCTTGCATCTAACTGAAAGCCATCCTTCTGTGTTTCCCAGAAGGTAGACAGAGAGGACCCTTGGAGGGAATTTGGCAGGGTTTCCTCCCGGTTCTGTAGTCACAGAAGTATTTTTGCATTCGTGAGAGCCTCCTCTTTGGAGGTAACAAAGCGCTGAGGGTCTCACATGCATGTTGAATAGCCATCAGTTCATGGGCTAAAAAGCAAGAAGGATCTCAACCCTCAGTACTCCCAACACAGGCAGAGAACTGGGTATAGGGGATCTGGCTAAGGACTTAAAGGTCCCAGTCCCTGTGAATCTCCCGCACTGACAACTCAGAACAAGGGCAGAGAGGGGCGACTCTAAAGCCTATACCTAGAGAGAACAGGACACTGAATCAGATTCAGAGCTGTGCCATTAAGACGGGGGTGCCACGAACGGCTGAGCTTTGTGGTCCTTCGTGGAGACTGTAGATCATGCCACTCGGCTCTCTCTCTGAGATGCAGTCCCCTATCATCCTAGGAGGAGATGACAGGGTGGGACAGAAAGAATCAATGCTCACACATTTGCACCCACAGCTGTGGGCAGTGCCATGAGAGGGAGCTTGCCACTTTTCAGGAAGCCCCCCAGGGAACTGAGCAGTACTCAGATCAAGGGTTCAGGGCCCAACGGGCAGTTGCTGAAGATCTGCTGCCCTCCTAGGGAAACGCTCACCTTCCCTCTGGGAATTCCTCCGGATTCTGCTTTGCTACCAGCCACACCTCTGGTAATTAACCACTGTGCTGGGCTCTGTCCTGCAGCCGCTGGATAAATCAAATATCAGAGTCCTTGGTTGTGTTAACCTGGTGGTATTTTTTCTCAACGGCAGCTGGTGGTGAAAATGTGGGTTTTCATGGGGAGCAGAATTTTAGTATGACCTTTCCTACCTCCATCTTTTGCTTTACAATGAAAAGCTCTGGAACCTCTCCGGAGACCCCTCTTCTACACATCGGATCCCCAACACCAGATCTACGACAGTCAGATCCCCAGAGTGACTCTGCAGGGATGGAACACTTTCTCTGGGGGCAGTGCAGAAGCCTCTTGGAGGCTGTTTTCTGGGCACTTGGCCTTAAAGGAGATAGCGACTGGGGCCTCCGGAAGGATTCTGCCTGAAGAGCCAGTCCAGCACTGGAGGAGTTAATGTGGGACCGCGCGTAAAGGGAAGGGGAAAAAAGTTGGAGTTGACACTTGTGGAGGGGGGTGGGGGGAGCGAGTCTCTCTGACTCCTGATTGGTTTTACATTTCATCCAAAAATTTTTTTCTCTCCTCTCTCGCTCCCTCTTTTCAGTTTCTCTCTCTGATCCCAGGGGAGGGGAAACGGGAATAGTGAGAGATCAAAAATAAACCTCTTATGTCAAAGCCGGGAAGGAAGTATAAATACGAAGGGCTCGGCAGCCCACTTGGTGCTTCCCGGGGTGGGGAGGAGGCAGGAGGCGGCTGCGCGCGGATCGCGCGCGGGGCAGGGGCGGAGGACCGGCGCACGCGAGCCGGGGCGCCAGTTGCTCGCGCTCGGCTCGGCGGGCGGGCGCGGGAGGAGCGGCCTGCGCCAGCCGGAGGGGCCGCTCGGGGACCGCCGCTGTCGCTGTCGCCGCCGTCGCCAGCCCCTCACGGGCCGAGTCGGCCAGCGAGCTGATTGATTTGCTTTTTCCTGGAGAGAGCGGCCGGGCTGCGCTCGCGCAGCCAACACCTGCCCGCGCCGGGCCGCCTTCTTCCCTCTCCCGCGCCGCAGCCGGAGCCCCCATGCCCCGCGCCGCCCCCCGGTGGCCGCTGCTCCTGCCGCTGCTGCTGCTCTTGCTGCTGCCGCCGCCGCCGCCGCTCGCCCGCGGCGCCCCGGCCCGGCCCGGCGCCCAGGGGCAGGCCTCGGAGCTGGTGGAGCCCACGCGGTTGCCGGGCAGCGCGGGCGAGCTCGCGTTCCACCTGTCCGCCTTCGGCAAGGGCTTCGTGCTGCGCCTGGAGCCCGACGCCAGCTTCCTGGCGCCCGAGTTCAAGATCGAGCGCCTCGGGGGCTCCGGCCCAGCGGCCGGGGGCGAGCGGGAGCTGCGCGACTGCTTCTTCTCTGGCACGGTGAATGGGGAGCCCGAGTCGCTGGTGGCCGTCAGCCTGTGCCGCGGGCTGAGCGGCTCCTTCCTGCTGGACGGCGAGGAGTTCACCATCCAGCCGCAGGGCGCAGGGGGCTCCCTGCGCCAGCCGCACCGCCTGCAGCGCTGGGGGCATGGGGCGCGCCGTGAGACCCCCGGGCTCGCCGCCTCTGAAGCCCACCCCCTCCCCGGAGGACCTGAGTGGGAGGTGAAGGGAGAGGATCAGAGGCGGGAGAGAGGAGACGAGGAGCGGGAGAGCGAAGAGGTGGAGGAGGAGGAGGAGGAGGAGGAAATGGAGGAGGAGGAGGAAGGGGGCAAAGAAGAGGAGGCAGAAGGCGCCAGCGAGCTGCCACCACCCCTAGGGGCCACAAGTAGGACCAAGCGGTTTGTGTCTGAGGCTCGCTTCGTGGAAACGCTGCTGGTGGCCGATGCGTCCATGGCTGCCTTCTATGGAGCCGACCTACAGGTAGGACTCACTTTGCCTGGAGGCCCCCAGCCACCTCGTAGAGCCTCCCAAATCATCTCTTTACAGTTCCTCATCCTCCCAAGACCGACCCCAACAAGGTTCTTTCCTGAGAAAGTGCAAAAACTCTTTTCTTAACCTCTGACACTTGGGCCACCTACAGCGACCCCCCCTCCACTCCTGACCCGTGGCCCTTGCAGTTTAGAGTGGAGGTCCTGGTGCTTCCTCCTTTGCTGCCCACCTTCACCCCTCGCATCCTGAATCTCCTTCAGCACTTGGCAAACTGAACTAAAATGGGTTTTAAAGTGCGCCCCCTCCCCCAGGCACCTGCCTCTCCCAACAGAGATGAAAATTGAACATTTGGGAAGAACATCCACCCCACCCTCCTTTTCTCAGCCCTCCACTGTGTCCAGACCTGAGAGGTTCCCAAGGATAGTCAGCTGGGACGGAAAGATGGGTCTATTTCATTCCTTTTGCAGACAGAACTGAGGTTGCCATAAGTAAAAGATATTGTTTGGAGGGAGTTGAACCTGGAAAGGGGCTGCCCAACTTCTGTGTGCCCAGCTGGTTCTGATCAAGGGGCATGGACTACCTTGCCAGCCTGGCACTCGGCCCTGGCCCGAACTTGGCAGTGCCCGCATCAGCACAAAAAAGGGAGGGGAACAGAATTTCTGCCTGGGGGCTCAGCCTGGGAAACTGAAGCTTCAGTGGAAAAGGGAGGGGAGAAGGGAGTGGGGATATGAGCTCTTTCAGTTAATGTTCCTTGGTCCACCCCAGCGACTCTCAGCCCAGACACAGCTTTCTACTGAGCTTGGGCAGGAAAATTGAATTCAGGGGACAACTCCTGTGGCCAAACCATGTCTAACTAGACTCAGAGGTGGTGCAGCCTTGGCAGGAGGAGTCTATGTCAGCCCATGTCCCAACACCTTCCCCAAGAACCCAGTGAAGTACAAGAGTTCTGGGAGAGAGCTGTGCTTTTTCTTCCCCTGGGGAGCACAAAACCAGAGGTGTGCTAGGTAGAGAACACCTGATCTGCCCAGAGGTTGGAGATGCTTGCCACAGGGATCCTGGCCATTGCTGCAGCTCAGTTAATGCCTTTTCAGTAATGGCAATTTTGGCCAGTAGCCCTCTTCTAGGTTCATCCTATGCCTGACTGTTGGGGGGTACCGAGTGCTTCTGCATCAGCAGTACAGAACAATCTAGATGATGCATGCCGTCTTTATCCATCTGCAATCCCTGGGAAATGCATTTAGATGGAAGGCTGGGAAGAGCTAGGGGTGAGAGGTCCATGGGCTCCTTCCCTGGCTCCTGCAGGAGTAGGCCCCTTGGCACACTGTTGTAGTAGTTGCTTCTCCCAGAGCACCGTTAAGGCAGCTTTGAGCCATTAGTGCGGTCTTCCCAATGGGCTTTGGGACTATGAGGATTGAATATCCGCTTCCCTGACTACCCTGAGAGTGGGCGGGAGGCACCAGCTGACTCCTCTGACTCCTTTTCCCTAAGCAAGTCCTCAAGAGGGTGGCTAGCAGGGCTTCTCCCATCACAGGTTAGGACGACCACACCTGGCTACTAGGCAGCTCTACCAGAGAGAGGCTGAGAATACAATTATTGCAAACCCAGAGCTGAGATGCTTGAGCCCGTCCCTATGCAGGAACCAGGTTCTGACTTCGGCCTAAGAACCAGGAGATAGGAAAGACGACAAGAACACAAAGAAGCATCAGAAAATGTAACGACTTTTCAGACTTCAGAGCCAAAATGTTTTCTCTAGTGCTTTCCTACCATCTAGCTGTCTCAGCCCACCATCATCTAGTAACTTAAGATACTGAGTATTTACCTCAAGGATGTATTTGGCTGGGCTGGGTCTGCCCCAGGTTCTCTTCACATAGACACCCAGGAGCACTCCCAGATTTCTGGCTGGATGACCCAGGGCATGCTTATCCCATCCCCTCCCCCTCCACATACACCATTTCTGGGCCATTCACAGACAAACACCTTGCACCCAGCCAGCCTATGTAGGTCGGAAAAGCACATCAGGCCCCTTTGTAGGCTGAGGTCCTTTCCATAGGGTACCAGCTTCCAGGTCTTACACCGAAAGGAAAAGTGCTCTCAGCTGGACCAGCTCCATCACCACCGCCTTGGTCTCATTATGTCACAGCCCATTTACACCCTTGCTGTCACCATGCTGGGATGGGGCAGGGGCTGAGGGACGGCTGCTCCTATGACCTCCCACTGACCCCTCTGCTTTGACTGCTCACCCACTGTGGAGATGCCACAGAATAGACTTGAACTTCTCAGCTCAGTCCCTTGAGCTTCCTAAACAGGTCCATGAGCTCAGTCAAGACAAGAATGAATGTCAAGTTCTAGTTCTCCAAGAACTTCCCTGCCCAGACCCGTCTCCCTGAAATAGAATCCAGTTCTTTATTCTTCAGGGAGTCTCCTGGAGACTTCATTGACACCGATGGAAGGCAATTTGGGGATATCTTAGCAACTTGAGGTGTAGGTAAGGATGAAGAGACTTTATCCCCTGGAGGGTGCACTTCCTCATCTGTGAAGCCAGACCCAGGTCATCAGGATTAATGCAAGCATCAGTGAGGATACTTCATGATGAGTCTTCTAGAAAGTTTAGCACTCGGTGGGGAAGCCATTCTCTGAGAGCATTCAGTTTGTACAATGGTTTGCATGCATCACCTCAGCAGAAATACCTCTGAGAGAGGCAGAGGAGGAAGGTAGAGCTCACAGGGAATCTGTGACTTTCTCAAAGTCACACAGCTGGTAAGCAGCAGGGCTGGGTCATGACCCAAGTCTCCTGAATCTGGGGGCAGTGCTCTTTCTTATTGTACTGTGAGGTTTCTTTAGCAGAAGGAGGGCCTGTGACTGTGGCTCAGCTTACCCCCTACACTTGTCTATATTGTGGGAATGGGTCACAGAATCCAGCAGTCCAAAGATGCCCAGCCAAAGTGGGAGGCCCTATCCTGGGAAGAAACCACCTTCAAGGCCAAGAGAAAGAATTAGCCATGCTCTGGGCTGGTCACACTGTGAAGCGACAATGAAGTTTTCCAGAACTCTGTACACTTGAGTTCACTTAATCCCTTGACAGAAGGGGCCCCTGCCTCCCACCTTCTTATCTGGTTTCAGAGTTAATGAGCTCAGACAAAGGGGGCTTTCTGAAAGGAGGGACCACCTCAGAAAAGGCCATTAACTCTGTCTGCATCCAGCTGCCGCTGATTGTTGCCTGGACAAACGTGCCCCGGGGAAAGCAGTGTGTGGTGGGCAGAGCCGCGCCCCACGCTCAGACTGGAAATCCGACTGGCCAGTGTATCACCGGCCAGCCGAGCTCTACATTCTCTGCTGAGCAGAGAAGGTCCAGGGAGGGGCACTCCTCATCCCCAGAGGAAACCATAGTTTTCCCAAGATGTCAGGCTACCCACGAGTGATTTCAGGAGAGGGTTAAATCCCAGCCATTCCTTCTCCCCTTTACCCATAACCTCTGGGAAAATGTCTTCCACAAGCCCTAATACTAAAGTGATCACAGTTCCCAGCACAGTCCCCATTTAGGCCTGTTCTGGCATGATTATTAATAGCATCGTCTTCTTCTCAAAAGCATCCTGGTTTGGAAAATAACCAAAGCAGACACGTGCCCCATTTGCTCTGTAGCTACCTACGTCTTCAAGGAGGAGAGACATGTGTTGTGTCCACGTGTGAATTGTGTTCCCCTCCTGGCAAGCGAACGAGTCTTTTGTGTCTCTTTTGTCTGCTCCAGTCAGAATGAGTAACAATAGGAAGTCTTTCCCAAAGAAAGTGCCTTAATATTCAAAGGTGTTTGATTGACCACTTCTGCCAGGGGTAGGCTTGCTTGCTGGCATGCTTTGGGTTTGTTTTGGCTATGCTGTGGCTGTCCTTGTAGCAGCAAGGAGAGGTGGCAGTCAGTGGGGTGATGAAGAGCATATACTTTGAAGGATCATCGAAATAAGCTGAGTGTCCTTGAACAAGTTACCAATTTCTCTGGACCTTGATTTCCTCCCCAGCAAAATAGGAACAGTTATACCAATGTCCCAGCATTGCCTTGAGGATACAATAAAATACGGAAAGCACCTGACCCAGTGCCTGGCACATAGTAGGTGCTCAACAAAGCGTGGCTAATACTGAAGTTGCCTTTGGTGATTGTGTTTGTCAGGGTAGGTTGTGCCTTCACAGTCAATCCACTGCCATGTCAGCTCTGCTTTCCCACGCGGCAGGGAGGCCTTCCTTTTCAGCTTGCTCCGCTCAGAGTGTTTAAGCTTGACTCCTTGTGCTAAGTGTGTGTAGTTTTGGAGAGGTGACATTGCCCCCTGCTGTTTTGAGAACGAGGAGAGATGAAGGACATCAGTGCAGGACCCTCTCTTTTCTCCAACTGCCTCTTTACTCTTCTTTGCTTCTCCACCACCTCCTCAGCAGTCTTGGGCCCCAGAGAGACCCCCCAATAGGAAAAGTAGGGCACCAGTAGCTGAGGTCAGAGAGTTTCCATGATGCTGCTCTTCCTCTCCTTGCCTCTCCCAGGAGTGCTGCAAGAGGCAGTGATGGAACCACGGTATGAAGAGCAAATGAGCAAAGCATAGGGATGACACTCTGAGTAGAGGAGCTGCTGGAAATGAATTTGGCCCAGGCCCAGACTTCTAGACTCCCACAGCAGTTGGCTTTGGCTGCCATGGGAGCTCTGGGGGAGGAATGTCCTGAGTTGTATCACAAAGAATCAAAGAGTCTGTGACCCAGCCCAGTTGCCTAGGCCATTTCTTTCTCTTCTTCAGGTTGTAGGGGCACCAATGAAGAAGGACACTCCCTAAAATAATATCAAGTCTTTTCCTAATGAGAATCAGGAACATGAGGTCCCCAAGTCATTCAAGAGCAGGGTTGTTTGACCACCCCTGGCCAGGCTGGTCATGGGCTCCCACCTGCCTGAGATGGTTCTTGGAAGCTGTCTGCCATGGTGGGTGCCATCTTGTTCCCCCAGTCCACTAAGGGTGCCATCTCGTTCACATTCTTCAGCAAGCAGCCCACACCTCGGTGGTGCACAAAGAAGTACAAATAGACACCAGGTGGTGGAGTGAGCCTTCTGACCTTCTCCTTCACTGGCTCCTGAGCCCTCTCTTCGTGGAACTCTAAGTCAGGCTTGGCCTTTTGGCCCAGGGTACTGGCCAAGACTCGGAGGCTCACAGACCCTCAGCCACTGCCCCCACCATGTCCTTCCCCCTAGGGATCTATAAGATGCTCTGCAAATATCAGGCATCCCTGCCATGGTTTCCTAGAGGAGCTAACAGTGGGGATGGTAGTATCTCCCACCTCCAAAATCTCAGCGAGGCAAGACGAAAGGGGAGGTGAGTAGAACCAGGATTGGGGATATTAACAGAAACACTGGGACTGTGTAGTCCTTGCAGTTCTCTTGCAATGAAAATTGTCTTCTGAAATAGCACCCAGAGGACATCCAAATGCTCCCAACTCTAACCCACTGCCTTGACGGGAAATGGCTCTGAAGCCCACTCGCCTGATGGTTATTCAGTGTCTAGAGGATGCTCTGAGCTCCCTGACCTGCAGAGGAGACTCCCTGAAAATCTGAGTGTCAGGAAGCCTCCCCTGATGCCTCACCTCGTCCTTTGCACAGAAATTGACACCCTTTGTGGCACTGGCGTGCATGGTTCCCACTCAGCCACGTTGCCCCAGAACCTCAGTCTGATCTGGTCACTTGAGAACGCTGAGCCCTCTTAAACCCAAACCTTCCAGGACTGATGCTGAGCACCCAGCATCTCTTGTGTTAACATCTTCTTGGTAAACCGTCATCTCCCCAATTCTGAGATTGTGAAACTGAGACTCAAAGTGAAGAGATCTTGTGCGGAGAGTTGCAGGTTAGCTCTGAAGAAATTTCAGGGCTTGGTCCCTGGCCCATCAGACTCAACCTCTACCGGGGCAAGAGAGCAGGAGACTCTGTCTGCCCCCTGGGAGCAGCGAAGGCCTGGCCAGGAAGCAGCCTCAGCAAGCTCCCACTCCTCAGCCCTCACCCCCAGTTGCATAATGATGTGATTGCTTTTCTCCCTCAGGAATCCAGCTCCAGGAGCAAGAGCCAAGTTTCAGCTTTGCTGATAAGATGTTTACATCAGCCTAAACATAGCGAGAGTGCTTGACACGCTAAGAAACCTGCCAACCCCTGTTTGTAGGGCTTACAAAATACCTGGCTTGTTGCCCATGAGGTGAACAGACAGATCCCATTCACAAATAATAGGATTCGTCTGGAACTCCCACACGTGGCCTCAACCGACGGAGTGTCCCTCTTTAGCCTTTCACCCTCTTTGCCCCTCCTTCCACTCCTACCTTCCAGACCACAGGAGGGAAAAAATAAAGGCTTATGGGAGATGGTGCCCCAGGGAACGGGGAGCACGGCAAATGAATGGCAGCTCGGTTGGCCACACTCCCAGCTGAAGGCATGCGTGCCTCTGCCCCTTTTTCTTCTGCAAAACAATCCAAGAGGACTCACTTCTAGAGGTCCCTGAGGCAGGAGAGTGAGCTCCATCTGGCTGCCTCCAAAGCCTTGGGAGCAGTTGGCAGGCCAAGGATAGGACAGAGGCCAAGCAGTGATGTGAACTCCTTCAGCTGGCCTGGGCAAAACTGGAAGCAGGTGTGATCCTCAGCGCCTGGCTCGCATTAGGCCCACTGCCTCCTCTCAAGCCCCTGGCAGAAAGGAAGAAACCTTTCGTGGTTGTCCAGAAACCCAGCAGTCAAGCACTGGGAAACTTCATTTGAAGAGTGTAGGCCTCAGAGACAGACGTGCCTGGGCTGGTGTCCTGGCTTTCAGAGCTGTGTGACCTTAGACAGCTTATTTAACTCATGTGAACCTCTCTACTCCCTCATTTATAAAACCGGGATGACAATGCCTACTTCACAGAGTGAGCGTGCCCATTTAATGAGGTGTGGGTCTGGTGACGGGGGCAGGCTCGCCGTGAGTGGTGCCTGTTGGAACGATTTCAGGTTAACAGGGCCCATCCTGAAGAGGAGAAGTTTCCCCAGCAGGCACCAGGAAGAGGCTCCACTGGCTTCTAAGGAACACATTCTACTAAACCTGAACACTCCAGTAATTGCTTCTGGGCTGAGAACAGAGAGGGGATGGGGATGCTTGGCAGGGAGGTGCTGGGTGTCTGAGTTAAAGCAGAATAATGAGTACAGTCCCATGGGACCTTCTGGTGATGCTAGAAATGTCCTGTCTGCTCAGTTTAATACAGAAGCCTTGACCTATAGGTGGCTACTGATGTACTTGAAACGTGGCCAGTGTGGTGGAGGCACTGTAATTTTAATTTTATTGAATTTTAACTAACTCCGTTTTACACAGCCACATGTGGCTGGTCGAGACATTAAAGGCACAGACTTTGGAGCCCAGCCATCTGGGTTCCGATGTTGGCTTTGCACTCATTAGCTCTGTGATCTTGGGCCACTTACTGAGCCTCCAATTTTCTTAAATGTAAAATGAAGGGAAATCAGGCCAGGACCTCTGGGGTTTTGTGAGTCTTCAGCAAGTGGCGTATATCCAGGGCCCAGCACAGAGCCTGGCACACTGAGGGGCGGTGACAGCAGGCAGAAGGCCATGGGCTGAGAGATTGAACCCTTCCCTCCCCCTGCTCCCTCTTCTCCGACAGAACCACATCCTGACGCTGATGTCCGTGGCGGCCCGTATCTACAAGCACCCCAGCATTAAAAACGCCATCCACCTCACGGTGGTAAAAGTGCTGATCGTGGAGGATGAAAAGTGGGGCCCAGAAGTGTCTGACAATGGGGGGCTCACCCTGCGCAACTTCTGCAGCTGGCAGCGGCGTTTCAACCAGCCCAGTGACCGGCACCCAGAACACTTCGACACGGCCATTCTGCTCACCAGACAGGTCCGTGGGCTGGCTCCAGAGAGCCCAGGCAGGAAGGGAGGCGGGATGGGCGGATCAAAGGGAGGACCACAGGGCCTGCCCAAACATGGGAAATGTCTCCCTGCTGGCCCCAGCTGGACACCAGGAGCCTCGTGTGTGGAATGATGAGGGGGAGGTCATGAGGACAAGTGTGAGGTATTTGCAAGGGAAGGACAGGAATCTCGTAAGGGCTCTTTTCCAAAAGTTTGTGACCAGCTGTCTGCTGAGGTCATAGCAAGAGGAAATGGGCTCAGACTGCCCAGGCAAAACTCTGGAGTTGGAATGAAGAGAGGAGGTCCACCACAACGATTGTTAAACACAGAGGCCAGGAACCGGGGGTCACCCTCGAGATTTCTCCAAACAAGGAGGCTTGTCCTCCTAGCTGTGCAATTGAAACAGATAGCTTCCCGAAGGCTGGAAAATCCAGTAACATGTGCCAAGCCCTGTTGACGCCTTCAGTCCTCACAACAAGCCCACGCAGGCCCATTTTACAACGGAGGAAACTGAGGCACAGATTGCCCCCCACCCCCACAGTGGTGGCACCCATATAGTCAGACCTAGGCGGTCTTGCTGCAGGGTCAGTACTCTTCAGTACTATGCTATCCTGACTCCCAAACCAAGCCAGCCCTAGGACACACCAGGTCTAGGACACGAAGTTGCAGCCAGCCAGCCGTAGGACACACCAAGGTAGAAAAAGAAATAGAGGGCACCTGGGTGGCTCAGTGGGTTAAGCCTCTGCCTTCGGCTCAGGTCATGATCTCAGGGTCCTGGGATCGAGTCCCACATCGGGCTCTCTGCTCAGTGGGGAGCCTGCTTCCCTCTCTCTCTCTCTCTCTCTGCCTGCCTCTCTGCCTACTTGTGATCTCTCTCTGTCAAAGAAATAAATAAAATCTTAAAAAAGAAGAAGAAGACATTTAAAAAGAAGAAGAAGAAGAAAAAGAAATAGGCTTCCTCACATGAGTGGCCTTTGCGAAGAAATAGGGGCTTCGGCTTAAAAAGTTTCCTTTAGGGGCACCTGGGGGGTGCCGTCAGTTCAACGTCTGACTCTTGATTTCTGCTCGGGTCATGGTCATGGGGTTGTGAAACCAAGCCCTGTGTCAGGCTCTGTGCTGGGTATGGAGTCTGCTTGAGATGCTCTCTCTCCCCTGCCTTCTGTCTCTCCCCTGCCTTCTGTCCCTCCCCCTCCCTCTCTCTACCCTTCTCTTTAAAAAAAAGATTTCCTTCAACTCGGGAGGAGCAGAAATAGGAAGATTTCCTATTGTATGTCTGTTGTCACACCCTCACTCTCTCCGCCAAGCAGAACTTCTGTGGGAAGGAGGGGATGTGTGATACCCTGGGTGTGGCGGACATTGGCACAATCTGCGACCCCAACAAGAGCTGCTCTGTGATTGAGGACGAGGGGCTCCAGGCAGCCTACACCCTGGCCCACGAGCTCGGTAAGACTTCCCATGCCAAGCTGACTAGACCATATTCTGTCCGAGGGAACAGCCTCTTTCAAATCCAGGCCAGCCCAGGGGCTAAGGAAGATGCAGCTCTCACACTTGACCAGGTTCCACTCAGAGTTTTGACAGAGTGATTATATACAAATAGGTACTGTGCTTTCTCCGTTTCCACCCTGAGCTGAGGCCATAATATTAAAATAGGGTCTTGGACCATCATCAGGGGTCACCTGGGAAATGCCAAAATAAAATAAATGCTCAGGTAAAGGGAAGCAGTAACAGTAAGAATTCTGGGAAGATCAATTGTAAAGAGCACCATGTGAGGGAGTGACTCATTGAGGACAGGCTGAGGCAGAAAACAAAGGGATATCAAGGTTCCCAGGTTTTCTGCAAGAGAAAAGCCCAGAGTGAAGCCCAAACCAAAAATCTTTAAGGAATAAGGACATTGCTGCCCCTGTGAGGAGCTGGTGACTGGTTGTCCCCTGAGACGCCCTCTTTGGTCAGCGGAGAGAGAGGGGTCAGAAAGAGGGAGAGGGGCGCTGGGCCATGTGGGGAGCCCTTGGGGCGGGGCAGGGCGAGCAGGAGGGCAGTGGACACTGGCTAGGGTGGGCTTTGGGTCTGTTTCCCCTGCAGGGCACGTCCTCAGCATGCCACACGATGACTCCAAACCCTGTGCACGGCTCTTTGGGCCCATGGGTAAACACCACATGATGGCGCCCCTCTTCGTCCACCTGAACAAGACACTGCCCTGGTCTCCCTGCAGTGCCATGTACCTCACAGAGCTCCTGGACGGGGGTCACGGTAGGTGTCCCTCAGCTTCTCTTTGCTTCTTTCTGGTCAGCTGCTGGTGTTTGGGGTCTGCCCTGCCTGCCCCGGTGATCGCTGGAGTGCTATTGGCACCTAGGCACTTTCTGGCTGAGCTCCTTCACAGAGCAGCAGAGACGATTCGGGTAGAACAGACATCAGAGAGGTGTTCCTCACCCCGCCTCGTGTGCCACTGGCAGGCTAACCATCCCCGCCAAGCAGTCTTCCTTGCCCTGTCTTCCAGCAGCCAGAGTGCTGAGCTAAGTTAGATGATGAATCCCAGAGCAAGTAGAATTAGTCTGAGAAGGTTTGTCTGGAGTTTCAAAGGAATGGAAGGATGCAGTACGGAGGAGAAAAGAAAGCATCTGGGCTGGAGAGCTAGATTGTGCAGTAGCTCAGAAATGGCAAAGAGGCAGGGAACAGGTCAGTAGGAGAGCAAGGGTAGGGAGTACAGGTGGGTGACGTGCTGGGTTAAAACCATTCAGCTTTTCAGTACAACAGTGGAAACACAACTTACCCTTGGTTGTTCTCATCGAAAGAGACAGGGACACCTAAGATACAAAACTAGTAGATTATTCAAACATCAGTCCTTAGGCTTTATTTTGCATGCCATGGTTTCTGAAAGCACATTTGTGCCCCCAATTATACGTGCTGTAGACCAGTATTACAGTTACAATCCCTAGGTGCACACTGGATGTATGTAGAATGTTCTGGATAACCAAAAACATTCAGTCCTAATAAAATTGTACTTAACTGATAGTCAAAAATTGGATAAGCTCATCTTGATGATTGAGTGTTGACAGTTGTTAGGTTATGGTCAAAGAAACTATGATGGCTAGGCCTTACACCCCATGAGTAGGGATGTAAGTGTAACGTGGGAGGCCATGGGGGAGCTGAGAGGGGGAAACCCCTGCTCGTCATTCTTGTTCCTCTGCTTGCCTCCATTTCTCAGGAGACTGTCTCCTGGATGCCCCCACCTCGGCCCTGCCCCTCCCGACAGACCTGCCAGGCCGCAGGGCCCTCTATGAGCTGGACCAGCAGTGCAAGCAGATCTTTGGGCTGGGTTTCCGCCACTGCCCCAACACCTCAGCACAGGACGTCTGCGCCCAGCTCTGGTGCCACATGGATGGCGCCGAGCCCCTTTGCCACACGAAGAACGGCAGTCTGCCATGGGCGGACGGGACGCCCTGTGGGCCTGGGCACCTCTGCTGGGATGGCAGCTGTCTGCCTGAGGAGGAAGTGGACAGGCCCAAGGTGAGGGACGGCCACTGGGGGGTGTGGGAGGAAAGAGAAGGGAGGGCTATTTTCCAGGAGGAAACCACACTGGAGAGCCATGACTGAAGAGACTTTGGACCAGGCTGCAACTATGACTTCTGAGTAAAATCATTCCTCTTTTAACAAATAAAGCAAAGCTTATTTAGCCAAACTCAAGAGGAGCCCTTCGAGGCTGGACTCGGGGCAAATGGACGATGCCGCTCGTGTTCAGGGCATTCTGGGAACTCCCCCTTTGGAACTGTTTTGGAGTTTTCTTGAAGGTTTATGAGGGTAGGAGATAGGCATGAAGCCTTCCGGCACAAAGACCAGATTGTGGCCATTCAGTAAAGGGAGCCCATTATGAATTCCAGTAGAAACAGACAAAGGGATGGCAGAAGAGGAACATTCAATCAAGAGCTGAGGGAAAAGTATTCCTAGCCCACCCCTGTCGGAGCTGCATTCGTATTCAGAGGTCAGGAGAATGAGACTAACTGTGAGCCTTCCGTACTCAGGAGGAGAGAGGGAATCAGAGCTGTCTCTGACCAGGCAGAGATAACTTGGCCTAGGACAGAGTAAACTTACAAGAAAAAACAAGGCAACGTCAATGAGAGTTTTTTAAATGATTCTCTTCTTTGCCCTGCTCTTAATACTTGCAAACTGTGAGGCCGATCACATTTCTCTTACTGCGAGTCACTGAGCCCTGCCTATGAGACAGCATCCACTTAGTTTCACAGCCTGGTCCTGGCCCAGCCCTGAATCACCAGGGTGGCCTGAGCACTCACTCTCCAGAGCGCTGTCCTCAGCGGCATGTCCTTTCCACTGAGGCTCGGGATCCGGCTTGGCTCAGGTAAGCCCCACTCTGGCTAAGCTTGATCCAGGCCAGCGGTCACAGATCCATTCTCAGCCTCTTCTCATCCTCCCCATTCAGACACTGAGCTTCTCTTCTATGTACTGACTCTTTCTACCCCTCCCTCCCCAAAGCACGTGCTTCACACATTACTGAGAGTAGGGGAGGAAGTCTGTTCAACATTCCCCAGCGCCAGAGCCAAGCTCAATTCAGGGAGAGTTTGACAAGGAATGATCATGGGATGATGTTTATCATCTATTTTTAAGGGCAAAGAACAGATCATAGAACACTATACATGTAACAGAATCATAACTATGTACAATTAAAACATCACATTTTTATGATTATTCAGAGCAAAAGTGTGAGAGATTATTGATGAAAATCCCATCAGTGGTTTTACTGGGGTAGTGGTTTTTTTTTTAAGTTTTCTTTTTTATATTTTTCTGTATTTTTCATTTTTTATATAAGCAGATATTACTTCTGTCATTTTTTACAAGTATTTCCCTTTCAAAAACTCGGAAGCAATCAAGGGCAAAGCTTTGTTCTCATAGGTTGATTGTAAGGATGGAAGCAACTCTGATGATTTCCCAGGCATCATCCTACCATTGGAACTGGTAGCCGGTAGACCAATAGCAACAGCTCCCAGCAATTATTCCTTTAAACAAGGACTTCTCAACTTCGGCACTAGAGGCATTTGGGGTCACATAAGTGCTGGTTGTAGGAGACTGTCTTCTTCATTGTTAGGTTCATTGTTGGATGTTCACTGTTGGATGCTCCTTGTTGGATGCTCCTTGTTGGATGTTCACTGTTGGATGCTCCTTGTTGGATGTTCACTGTTGGATGCTCCTTGTTGGATGCTCCCTGTTGGATGTTCACTGTTGGATGCTCTTTGTTGGATGCTCCTTGTTGGATGCTCCCTGTTGGATGTTCACTGTTGGATGCCTTGTTGGATGCTCCCTGTTGGATGTTCACTGTTGGATGCAACATTACTGGATGCTCGTGGTAGGCAGTTCGTTGCTGAATGTTTAGCAGCACCCCAACCTCTACCTGCTAAAGGCCAGCAACATACGGCCTCCCCAACTGTGACAACCAAAATGTCTTCAAACATTGCCGATGTCCCCAAAGGATAAAAATGGCCCTGATGGAGAACTGCTGCATTAGACCCAACTTTATTCCTATAAAATGTTGTTTCATTCAACAACTAATACCAAGCACCTCACTAATGGCAAGGCCCTGTTTTAGACACTGGGGAGTCAGCAGTGAACAAGATCAGCACATCCTCTGTGTTCAAGAGGCCAATCTCCAAGTAAGCCACACAGTCACTAGAAAATGACTAAGGCAGTTTACCGAACAACACCCACCAGAATGAGCATAACTAGATGAGGAGGTCAGGGCCATGGCCCCTTGTTACACTGAGAGCTGAGGCCTCCCCACCTCTGCTCCTGACTCAGTGTGGCCTTGTGTGTTGCAGGCTGTGGTGGATGGAGGCTGGGCCCCATGGGGACCCTGGGGAGAATGCTCCCGGACCTGTGGAGGAGGAGTTCAATTTTCACACCGTGAGTGCAAGGATCCTGAGCCTCAGAATGGAGGAAGATACTGCCTGGGTCGGAGAGCCAAGTATCAGTCATGCCACACAGAGGAATGCCCCCCTGACGGTAATCAGACCTGACAGCCACTACTGTTGTCACTGTAGCAGATCCCCAGAAAGGAAATAGGGTGGGTCTCCCGGGATGCAGAGCTTTCCTGGGAGCCAGACGTAAAAAGACCTTGCAAGGCACCAAGTTTTAGGACAAACCCTAATGGCCCCAACTCTCATTGTGCTGGGAGAGTGTAGCAAAGCCAAGGAAAGAGATTGCCCTGATCTTTCAAGATGTGGAAATCAAGGATGTCATTCCCAACCAAACTTATTCAGGGGGTTGGGAGGAGCTCTGCAGAGAGGCTAACGTCTCAGATAATAATCCTTCTGGAGGCATCTGAACCCTCGTCTGTGTGCAGAATAGAAGTGTTTTCCAAAGCAAGTGTCAGAGCCAAACCTCCACTGTCTTTCCAGCCAACATTCAGCCCAGGGTGGAGGGAGTGTTTCTGAATCTGATTCTAATGCACATTCCTGCTGAGAAGAGTTGCCCATCTTCCCTTGAGGCCATGGCAACTGCCTGATGGAAGCTTACTAGGGAGCAGCACTGCCTCTACCTCCCCTTGACATACATTCCTACCCCCCTAGTACCACGAGAGAGCACACACATTAACTCAGAGGCAGCAGGGGTAGCAGCAGAACTGGTGAGAGGGAATCATTAGCAGTTTTTCCCCACCATCCCATCCAACTCCCCCCTTGTGCAGCTCCAGGAAATATTGGCAGACAGCAAAAGACAAGCAGAGTTTTAAGAGAGATGCATCCAAGTGCAAAGACACACTGACATTGGGTTGGTGTCTAATGAGGAAATCAGTAGGCTTTGCAGTTTTGCAAGACGGGAAGGATCCGCAGTGGCATGCGGCTCTAGAAACTTTGCCCTGGAATCATGAGAGTTTGCCTGGCACATGCAGTGAAGAGAGAGGGGGAGAGAGAGACGAAGGGGAGGGATGAAGGTAAGGCACAAGGTAGACGTTGTGATTTCAGTTACCCCGGGATCAGCCTCTCCATCAACAAGTAGTTCTTAGTGCCTCTCGTGTGGCTCGAACTATAATGGATGTTGCAAATGACTTTGTAAAAATGCACAAAGCATGCTCGTTGTCCTCAAAGAACTTGCAGGCTACTTAGAGATCCATATGCCTTTTACAAAGCAATTAAAGCCTAAAGCTCTGAGGCTTGGGCCCCCGCCTATGCAGAATCCAGAGCAAGGAAAAGCCTGGGCTAGCCAGAAGCCTCACAGGAAGTGAAGGCTGTGCAGGGCCTGGAGGCTGGAGATGGTGACTGGGTGTGGGAGGACACATGCCCACGCGGAGAGGGCGGCTTGTGAGGGCTAGCATTCACTCGGCCGGCGTCAAGCAGCCCACGAACATTTCAAGGCTGCGCAGCAAAGATCTGGGAAAGCTGAAATGGTCTCTGGAGGTTCTCCGGGCCAGCTGTCCCACGTCACCTGGGAAGCTTGTTGAAACACAGAGGCCCGGACCCCACAGATGCATTGAATCAGACTCTCAGGAGGAAGGCAGGGCCATCTGTGTTTTGGAAAGTCTCCACAGGCCATGCAGAGATACAGCTAGGATAGAGAACCTCAGTAGTAAGAGCAGCTTTAATTTCAGGATCTGGGGGTGTGGGGAACATTTCTTACTTCTGACAGACTGTTCTGGAAGCAGCATGAAGCAGGATGGGAGAAGAGGCTGGATACTAGGTCTCACAGGAAACCAAGAGGCCTGGGCTTGAGGCCTTGGTGAGAGTGGGAAGGAGACACTTAAAATCACAGATTGTCACGAATAGTGTGTAGGACACGAGGACAGGTTGGAAATAGTCAATCTAGATACTCAAGTGTTAAGCGGATACCAGATGCCCGTCTCACACCAAAATTCGGCAGTATCCCCAAAAGAAAACTAAGCCAGTTCATGGAGGAACCATTTGGGGTCGGGCTTTTTCTGAGCTGGAGGTAATTGCACTGCTGCCCATGGAGGTCCCCCAGAGACATCTGGAATTACAGCAGGTGAGCTGTAATAGGGGCAAGGTCAGAGCTAGAGATGTCGATCTGACAGTCTCTGGCCACACGTTCATAGTCACCAAGGAAGTCAAAATAGAGCATGATTAGCAGGGCCCCAAAAATAGGCTCCACGGATTGTTCAAGCTTTCTGATTGTCCCCTGTTCCTAAGTGTATTCATCTATAAGACAGCATTGGTATCTTCCCCACATGGAAAGGATATTTATCGCAGAAAGCCCAGCTTGAGGCTGGAGGCTCCTTTCCAGGCCACACGGACCTAGGTCGGACATGTCTAGGAACGTTGGGCCCAGATGACACTGAACCTATGTCCTGGGATTGGATCAAAACCAGGAGGAAGGAAGGGGCCCTGAATCCTGGCATTTCTGCTGCTGGGTCCTCCCTGCTTCAGCAAGGTATGTCAACGTCATACCGTGTCTTCCTCTTCATAGGGAAAAGCTTCAGGGAGCAGCAGTGTGAGAAGTATAATGCCTACAATTACACTGACATGGATGGGAACCTCCTACAGTGGGTCCCCAAGTATGCAGGGGTGTCCCCCCGGGACCGCTGCAAGTTGTTCTGCCGAGCCCGGGGAAGGAGTGAATTCAAAGTGTTCGAGGCCAAGGTAAGAATCTTTCTGGAGCTCAGAACCATGGGTGAGGAGGAAGGCCCCCTGCTCCGACCCCACCTATGGGCTGCCTCTGTGCACACCACGCCCTCTGTTACCTTCTACTTCCCTGCTGCAGGTGATCGATGGCACCCTGTGTGGACCAGAGACTCTGGCCATCTGCGTCCGTGGCCAGTGTGTCAAGGCTGGCTGTGACCACGTGGTGGACTCGCCTAGAAAGCTGGACAAATGTGGGGTGTGTGGGGGCAAAGGCAATTCATGCAGGAAGGTGTCTGGTTCCCTCAACCCCTCCAGGTGAGTCTCACCCATAGTTCTGTGCGTAGGTTCTACAAGAGTGGAATAGGCTTCAGCATCACACTGGCCTTAATATGAATTGTGGCAGCTACTTACTACCCATGCAGGTCTGAGCCGTAGTTTCTCTGTAAAGCATTGGGAGTCCCCTTTATCTCAGAATCACCATAACAAGTCATGAGATGGGCGGAGCGCTTGGCTCAAGGTCTGACCCATAGAGCGGATGGGGCACAGGGCAGCCAGAGGCTCTAAGGATAGGGGTGTGTCAGCTCTGAGTCAACTGGCCATAGAGCTCTGCTGAGTAACCTGGGCCCTTGCCAGAAAACGGCTCTTCTGGGCCTGTTTTGGGAAGGACATCCCACCCTACACCGGTGAGTCCCATCTTTTTGCAGGTGGATCTTTCAAAAAGGGGGTCCGAAGAAGGGGGTCTTGGTGGCCTTGCTTTCATGAATCTGAGAACTCTGGACGCTTTTGTGGACCTTAACGCCATATGTTCATGAAATTCCTAATATTGAAGAGCTTTCACTTCTTTTTTTCTTAAGTGCTTTCATTTCTATGGCCTCATTTGATTCCTAAAATAAGTCTATCAGGTGGCCAGTACTCTTATACCCAATTTACAAATGAAGAAACCAAGGCCACAAAAAGATCACATGACTGAGGTCACACTGATAGTTAATGACAGCCGGGAGCAGAGCCCAGGTGTCTTAATTCCTGCCATGGCAAACGATTCCCAGAGAGGAAGGGCCATGGCATAAGTTACGTGGCCACGCTGTGTCCCTCTTGGTCTCTCTCCATCTCTCACCTCATCCAGCTCGGAGAACAGAACAGCAGACAACTTGGCAGGCCTCAAAGTTAAACTCAAAGGATATAGAAAAAAGAAGCATGTGGTGTGGGATATTCAGATCCTGGGTCTGTTAGCTGGCTTTCTCATAGGCGTTAGACATATGGGGCTGTGGATCCTTTCAAAGCTGCCCTAGATTCAGCAGCTAGCCTGAGTGGGCAGAAGGCAAGACTAGCAGAGAACCAACTGCCTGTCCTCAATCTTCTTTGCTTTCCTCCCAGCCTTTGTAACCCAAACCCTTCGCCCCAGAAGAGAATAATAAAAACTAAGGTTTCTCCATCCCATGTAAAGTCCTAGAGCTATAGCAGAGCTGAAACACAGAGGAAGGCAACTAGAAGCAACTTCTCTCACTCTGGCTCCTGACCTGGGGCCCTATGAACCAAATGCTAGGGACTGATAGGCTCTAAGAGGTAGAGAGAGATGTCCGTTCTGGTCGGATTCTGGGACTGGTGTGTGGAGCAGATTTTCCCGCATGGGTTTGAACTCTGGGTATGCAGGGGGCCAAGCGAAGGTCTGTGGCCCTGCGGGGAGCTAAGCATGATTGAGACCTCACTTGGGCCAAGAGCTGCCAGCTTCAGCAGCTCCCAGGCAGCTTGGCAAGCCCTTCTGGGATGTCTTCCTCTGTGCTGATATCCAGGTCCACACATCCAAAGTGCGAACATTTGAAGCAGAGCCACCAAGCAAAGCAAAAACCCTTGAGAATCCCAATGTGCAAAACATTCTTGTCAGTCTCCACTGTAGTTATGAGGAACTTTAGGGCAACTACTTGATGCTTTGCTAACGCTCTATGACCGCCCCCCTAGTCACCAGCACACTAACTTGCTGAGGCGCTAGGCTGGGTCCTCAGGGTGTCTTTCTGTTCCTATCATAGTTATGGCTACAATGACATTGTGACCATCCCGGCTGGTGCCACTAACATTGATGTGAAACAACGGAGCCACCCGGGGGTCCAGAACGATGGCAACTACCTGGCGCTGAAGACGGCCGATGGGCAGTACCTGCTTAACGGGAACCTGGCCATCTCTGCCATAGAGCAGGACATCTTGGTGAAGGGGACCATCCTTAAATACAGCGGTTCCATTGCCACCCTGGAGCGGCTACAGAGCTTCCGGCCCCTGCCCGAGCCTCTGACCGTGCAGCTCCTGACTGTCCCTGGTGAGGTCTTTCCCCCCAAAGTCAAGTATACCTTCTTTGTTCCTAATGACGTGAACTTCAGTACACAGACCAGCAAGGAGAGAGCGACCACCAACGTCATCCAGCCCTTGCTCAACGCACAGTGGGTCCTGGGGGACTGGTCTGAGTGCTCCAGCAGTTGTGGAGCCGGCTGGCAGCGGCGGACAGTGGAGTGCCGGGACCCCAGCGGCCAGGCCTCCACCACCTGCAGTGAAGCTCTGAAACCTGAGGATACCAAGCCCTGTGGAAGCCAGCCCTGCCTGCTGTGATCCTGGGCAGGGTGGGGGATGGTCTCGTGCTCATGGACTCGGGGTGCTGAGGCACAGACCAGGGTACCCACTGCAGGGACCCTACTTGTGGAGGTGGCATGGTCTCCCCAGGCCTGTCATTGCCACAGCCCTTCCATGTGGCATGAATTCCTAATGGGGAGACGAGGATGTGGACGACAGATCCTAAAGTCTACTATCTGGCAGGTTGGACCTAGTGTGGGTTTGGGTAGAGGGTATAGGTTAAAAGGTAAAAAAAAATGCGCTTATTGACCCAAACAGGAGACTCAGCCTGTTTGCAAAGGACTAGCAGAGTCAAATGAAAAAAAAAAGTTTTCCTATTTGGTTTCCCCGATAAATAATCTACCTCAGAGGGGAAAAAACCTTAGTAAAAGAGAGGTGCAGAGTGGGGAGGATAATGATGAATGTCAAAGTGCCCTAGCTGCGCCCCCAAACGGTCTTCAGAAGTGACCGTGACTGTCCTCGGCATTCAGCTCCATGGCCGCAGGGGCTGCAGAGCTGCAGGACTGTGGCGAGCCGTGGGTTCTCAGGCCTCCACCTGCAGGAGTGGATCCATTTCAAGTATTTATGCAAATGTGTCTCTGAACTAAAGTGTGATCTTGTGCCAAGGCAGTGGTCTGAGCTGGTTCAGTGTTTCTTTGGAAAGGGCCAAGGACCCGGAGCCCAAGGACGGGGGCTAACACTCGGTCAGCTAACCTCGAACACACCCAGGGAAGCTGGCACCTGGCCTCAGGCTCTCAGGCCTCCCTCCTGCTGAATCCGGTTCCCTCTGGCAACTCTTCATTATAATCTACACCAGTGGTTCCCCAACTCCAGTGGGCATTAGAATCATCTATAGGGATTCTTAAAATACAGATTGCTGGGCCTTACACCAAGAGTTTCCGAGTCAAAAAAAAAAAAAATTGAGTTTCCGAGTCAGTGGGTCGGGAGCTGGCGGGGGGGTGGGAGGGGTCCTGAGAATCTGCATTTCTAGCAAGTTCCATGGTAATGTGGAGCCTGTTGGTTTGAGAACCACAGCTCTAGGGGAAATGTCCAACTCGGAGGTGGCAGTGGCAGTGAGATGCCTCTGGGCTCATTATTCTCGAGGAAGACTATCCCATCCACTCTGCGAATGCCCCATCCTCCCTTTGATATACCGACCAGCCAGAGATACCAGATTCTCCTAGGACCTGAGGAATGCTGAACTGTTTCTAAGCACCATCATCCCAACAACCTCAGCCCCTTCTCTCCACGTCAGACTTTATCCCCACCTCGCAACTCTTCTGACCCCAACACTTGCAAGGGCCCCACTCAGCCCTTTCTTTCTTTCTTTCTTTTCTGAGAGAGAATGTGCTTACACATGTGCGTGTGTGAGCAGGGGAAGGGGGTGGAGGGAAGGGGCAGAGGAAGGAGCAGAGGGAGAGGGAGAGGGAATCTTAAGCAGACCCCACGCCCAGTGCAGCAACCGATGTGGGGCTCAATCTCACGATCATGACCTGAGCCAAGATCAAGGATCGGACGCTTAACGGACTGAGACACCCAGGTGCCCCTCTCTGTCCTTTCTACACAGAATTGCATTGCCCACCTGCCCCCGAGACCTCCCTGAGAGCCCCCCAAATCCCAACTGCCTCTGTATCTCCTCCCCTCTTCCTGGCTCAGTCTTCCATATGGTCTAGTATAGGGGAGACTTAGTGTTGGTCACAAATGGGATGAAAGCAAATGAGACGAAATCACAATCACATCTCATCACAAATGAGATGAAAACAGGCGACATCAAAAATTCACATTCTAGTGAAAAAGAAGGAACATATATACATTTGCGTCTTCCCTTTTTTTTTTTATTGACTTTGACCCTTTCATCCTTCCCTTTCACTTTCTCTCAAGACCCCTTCAAATAACTGGTGACCTGGGCAGAGAGGAGGCTATACAGAGCCCTGGGGTGAATGATGACAGGGGGCCCCTCTGGGAGGACTCACCCTGAGGGGCACGAGACAAAACAAGGGATTTCAGCCCCTCCAGTGCCCTTGGCTGGTGGCTGCTGGTCGCCTCTGTGTGGTGCCCAAATCTGCACCGTGGCCTTCAACATGGAGTTGACAGCCTTTTCCCTGTCTGCCGACTCGTTAGTGAGTGGGAGCCAGGCTTACCTAAACATAAACAAGCACACACACAGGCCCGTTGAGGATGACTAGTAAAACCAGATTTTCCCTTGCTGTGTACGTTTTGTCAAGACTGATGTACATTTCTGCGACTCCTCATCTCCTTCCATTTCTCATTGTCCCCAAAATAACCGAGTCCCAGCATGTCCCTCACGCACTGCCCGTATCGGTCCAGCAGTGCCATCCCTCCCGGCTGCATCGTTAGCAGCCACAGCATTTGCCCTGGAGTTCAGCTGGCGACAGAGCTGCTGATGTGCAAAGCAGAATGGAATCCAGCTTGGCTCTTCCTTGTTGTGTGGGCTCGGCCAGGCTCACAGAATGCATACTTGTTTGTGTCTGGAAATTCAACAGCTGCAGTGCAGGGACTCAGAAAATAGATCTGCAGAGAGAGACCACACCAATGTTTCCCCTGGCCAGCCTCGACCACCCTTTTAACCCAGAGAAGGGAAGAGTACGTTTCCTCTGCTGCATTTTGTTTGCATTTTCCAGCTAGAGTTCCTGACGGAAACTGGTACCAGCATCTCCTAAAGTCCCCAGGGGCCTGACTCGACAGGTAACTCAGCCGGTCATTCGTCTGGCTCCTCCCGACACCTGCCAGAAAGATTTCAGACGTGGTACATAGCATCAGAGTTCATTTCCTCCATCCTTAAGAAAAATGAATCTTTGCCTGGGGTATGCTCTCTGCCCTTTTATTCCCCTGTAGCTGGCCAGAGGGATTTGTAAATTTACAAAACTATGCAACATTGTTGTTCCCCAGCCCACTGTAGCAAACCACCCCTCCCAGGAACATAGTCCAGGGGTGATGGGACCAGCTTCCCTCTAGCTCCAGGCCCCCCATCTTGCCATTCTGATGATGTTCACTAAGTTGGGGTTTTTAACCAAGTGAGCCCTCATGATAAGGACTGTTCCTCCTTCCAAGCATCGAAACATGTAGCTCTTCTTGCTTTCCTCCAGAGGTCTCTTCATTTTTTCCAAGCCTCCCCAACCAACCAAAAAAAAATAATAATAATAAATAAATAGAAGAAGGAGAAGAGGAAGAAGACAAGAATAGAAAAGTTCTCAAGAGTATGTTGGCTTTTCCTTTGTCCTGATATTTTCAACTTGTGGTCCAGGGCAAATAAAGAGGGAGGCTTTGTCACCATTGTATTCTTTAGTCTGTAGAGTGGTAAGGCAGTGTTGCTGCCTTGTGCTGGGCTTTCACACACAACCCAGGACTCGCAGGGTCTGAGTCTCCCCTGGTTGTAGGAGAAGAGGCTCCCAAGCCCACAGCAGTTTCTGTTCCACGTGCTCTGCCTCAGACCACCAAGCCCCTTGGGGAAGCAGCCCCATCCCCTTCACTGTTGGGAAAGAGGAGTGGTTTGGGAGTGTGAACAGAAATGCAGAGGCTACCAATGAGAATCAGATGTAGTATCATCCTTAGTTTCCCAGATTTCTGCTGCCACAGTCTTGTCCCTTCCTTGTGCCTCTTCTGTCAGCTAAAGCTCAATTACAGAAGATATAGCCAAAACAAAACATGAGGTAGGGTAAGCACAAGGAAGACAATGAAGGCAACATTTTAGGCAAGGTTAAGCTACCATCCCCAACACCCATCCTTCTCCGCCTTGACTCTGCTCTATGCGGAGTGGGAGGGAATCCCCTAAGTAAAGAGAAGTGTATCCTCACCAGCATTCCCCACTCAAGCATGCACGCCCATGGGTGCCAGGACAGAAGGCAGAGGAAGGGAGGGAGGCAGCCACAATCCTGCCCTTGAGAAGTATAAACGGGTTTGCTCGCCTTTGGTGGCCCTTGGCTGTGGGACAGTATGTCTGTGAGAAAGCTCTCTTCTGGCACAGAGTATTTTCCTGTGGTCCTTCAAGAAAACTGCATGTGGAATGCAAGAGAGAGAGAGAAGTCATTCACCTAAGCTGACATTTTTGCTGGTTCAATTTAGATAATCACTAAAGTGATATACTGCGGTCATGTTGACCTTACCTATGAAAAAATTCTAAACAAGAGAAAATATCACACTGAAGGGGGACTAAATGTTGGAGCACTGAGTGAGCAGAGTGCTGGGGCCATGACCTCCATGCTCTCCCTCCTCACTGGCATGACATCAGCCCTTGCCAGGTACCTGTCTGCTTTCTAGGTTAACCCTTGCCAACAACCTGGCCAGGCATAGCACAATAGACGTGAGCCCTTCACAGCTCGGTTCATTCTTCTTCAGGAGATAGTTGGTCTTTCTTGCTTAAAACTGAGCCCACACCCCTTAAAAACTCAATTAAAAAAAAACTCCTCATAGACACTGCCCAATATTGGGAAGAGAAAGGTAAGATGGAATGTACAATCGTAGATGCTAGTGCAGGGAGAGAGAAATTCAGGAGTTTTCAAAGCCACCTGTCTCTTTTAGAACATACTTTTCCTCGAGCCTTGGGCTCAGTGAGGAGAGACAGGAAAATTCTGGCTAGTCTTCCATCCCCATGAGCTGCCCAGCCTACCCCTGGCAGACACTTGCCTTGCCCCAGGAAGGGAGAGAATAAAGAAGCCTTCCCCAGACCTCACCGTTCCTCATTCCAAACATCTTGTAAATCCCAGGGGCACTTGAAGAGTTTGTCCTTGGCCAAACACAACTTCCTGTTTCTAAGAAAGGGCGGGGGGGGGGGGAGTTGAAAGAGGTTTTGGACGCTGAGATTTCGACTTTCAGTAAATGTAAATGAATCAGACACATGTGGAATGAATTTCTCCTGAGGTAAGAAAAGATGCTGTGATTCCCTTTGCTGGACCAGAAAGTGGGAAAGGGGTAGTTGAGGTGGGAGGTACATCAGAGGCTGAAAGGAGAGAGAAAAGCCTTGTGAACGTTGAATCAGGGAGAGGTTCCCAGTGGTGACAAGGGTCAGTGCGGGCCCTCCCAAGGCCACATCCTGAATTTGCTTATTACTCAGAACTTCTCCGCCTCTGAAATCATAAATTTAAATATCCTACTACCGACCACGACCTCCTATCCTTCCAGATATCTCACTAGCTCCAGTTTATTCTAGGGACCCCCAGATCCTTGACCACCTCCATATATACACATTCCTCAGTCTTTATTCCTCCTTGGCGTCCCCTTCATCTTTCCCTGTGCTGCTTAGACTCCGTGTTCCGGAACCTTCACTTCAGTCTTGCCAACAGCCCCATCTTCCTTATCCCGTTGACATTCTCTGGAATTCAACAAGCAGAGTCTCAGTCCAGACACCCTCACCTCTCTGCCTCGTGCTCATCACCATCGTGCTAACAACGAGGCTTCCCTCCACTGAGGGAAATCGCATAGGTGTCACTATAAAGTCGTGGTCCCCAGTGGAAACTCTGACCCAAGAAGCCTTCTTTAGTCAGTTCTATTGCTGGTTCTTGGAAATTATTATACACTTTCTCCACCATTCTCAAACTCATGATCCTGCCACGTTTCCCCTTCTATGAGTAGAGAGCTTTACCTCCTACCACCAAGTGGTACCAAACACTGCA